CTAAAATTATTTGTAGCAGATTCATTAAAGGGAATAGTATTTATAGATTACGTCAGTGGCAACCATCATGGTTTTCACTGCTTTCAGAGACTTAGCAATAATAATAATAATAACAATAACAATAATAATAAGAAAAGGTGTTTACCCGTCGCAGATACACAGTGATGGAAAACAAAGAAATAATGATCTGTTACTACAGATCAAGTCCAACAAGAAGAGGATATCTAAAACGAATGCACCAGTTCTGGAAAGAACAACATCCAGAATCAGAAATAACAGAACAGAGACTAGCAGATCAACGCCGATTTATAACACGAAATAAAGTATTCACAGAAACAGAATTGGACGAACTGCAAAGGTTTACCCAGGGCAAAGAAATCAAAGCCTTACCAGAAGTAATTCAGAATGTAGAGGCAAACCAGGGGGAGTTGGCAGTGAAGGAATCTAGCAGAGATATACAACTGTTCTCATTTGGAAACCAGGCACCTCTACCTCAGGAAGAACAAAACCCTCTAACTAAAGAAATAAAAGAATTGAAACAAAGAATAACTGAGCATCTAGAACAGCACAAAAACAACAGAATAAGGCTACCTGCATTGAAGCTTGTTCCAAAGAAACAGCTAGCACAAGCATTAAAAGATGCAAATATTGCAATATCAAGTATAAGCACCAATTCATTGCAAGAAACAAACCAACTAATGTACAGCACAGCTGCAGTTATAACAGAATACCTGGGATGCAAAATCAACAAAAAAGAAAAACAAACAAACAGTGCACCAGAAAAATGGAAGGTTAGACTAGAAAATAAGATCAGCAAGTTAAGATCACATGCAAGCAAGCTAGAACAGATGAAAGAAAAGAAGCTGAAGAACAAGAAGACCAAAGAATACCTAATCAAGAAATACCACTTAGAAACAAGGAAGATCAAGGAAGCACTGGAAATAATAAAGCAACAAATAACAGCTATAGCCAGGAAAATCAGTAGATATGAAGCTCGAATTGCAAACTATAGGCAGAACCTCCAATTTCAATCCAATCAGAAACGTTTCTACCAATCCATCAATGGAGAAACTGCAAGGAATCAGTCAGTACCTGACAAGGAAGAAACAGTGCAGTTCTGGAAGCAGATATGGGATAACCCAAAGAAATACAACAAGGATGCGGCTTGGTTAAAAGAGGTGGATGCAAATAAAACAGAAGTTGAAATGAAAGAACTAGTAATAACAACAAAAATGGTAGAAAAAAGAGCAAAGAAAATCAAAAATTGGTCAGCACCAGGTGAAGATGAACTGCATGGGTTTTGGTTGAAACATCTAACTGTTATACACCCACTCATTGCCAAACAGTTCAACAATATACTACAAGGAGGAGAAATTGAAAAGTGGCTAACAACTGGGAAAACCTACCTAATAATGAAAAATCCAGCAAAAGGGGCAACACCAGGTAACTACAGGCCAATTACCTGCTTACCAACAACTTTCAAATTACTAACTGGTGTAGTAGCTGATGCAGTGCAACAGCATCTAGTTGAAAACAATCTCTTTCCACCTGAGCAGAAAGGAAACCGCCCCAATAGCAGAGGAACAAAAGATCAACTCCTAATAGACAAAATGATCTTGGAAAACTGCAAGAGAAGGAAGACCAACCTGAATGTGGCATGGATTGACTACAAAAAGGCATTTGACTCTCTGCCACATGATTGGATAATAAAGTGCCTAGAAATAACAGGAGTCAGTAGAAACATCAGAAAATTTGTGCAAAGATCGATGGCACAATGGAAAACACAGTTGCAGATCAATGGTGAGAGGCTGGGAGAGGTTAATATCAAGAGAGGAATATTTCAAGGAGATTCATTATCACCATTACTATTTGTTATTGCACTGTTTCCTCTGTCAACAATACTGAATAACTCAGGACATGGCTATCAAACATCAAAAACATCTGCCAGACTATCCCACCTCCTTTACATGGATGATCTGAAGCTGTATGGAAAAACATCATCTGAAATAGAATCGCTGCTCAACACTGTCCGTATATATAGCCAAGATATTGTAATGGAGTTTGGCTTGGACAAATGTGCCACACTTACTATCAAACAAGGAAAAATAATGAAAACTGAAGGAATCAAGATGCCCCACGAAAATAACATTAAGAGTCTGGATGAGGAAGAGTACTACAAATACTTGGGTATCCTTCAAGCTGACAACATCAAGCACACTGAAGTCAAGAAAAAGATTAGAGGTGAATACATCAAGAGAGTGAAGAAGATCTTAAAATCCAAACTCAATGGAGGAAATACCATAAAGGCAATCAACACCTGGGCAATCCCAGTCATTAGGTACACAGCTGGAATAGTGGACTGGACTCAAGCAGAACTAAAAGCAATGGATAGGCAGACCAGAAAAATAATGACAATGAATCATGCCCTTCATCCACGCAGTGACATTGATAGACTTTATCTACCAAGGCAAATAGGTGGGCGTGGAATGCTACAAGTACATCAGATGGTTGAAGAAGAAAAAATGGCTTTGGAAGAATATCTGAAGAACAATGATGAAGATGCACTGAAATTAGTATATCAGGAAGGCTTACTAACTACTGGAGAGACCAAACTGGCCTACAAGAAAGACCAAATGAAGAACAGAATAGAGGCATGGGAAGAAAAAGCACTACATGGCCAATACATGAAAAAAATAGCTGGGAAAGCAGATAACAATAAAACCTGGCAATGGCTAAGAGCAGGAAAATTGAAGAAAGAGACCGAGGGACTAATTCTGGCTGCACAAGACCAAGCCTTAAGGACAAATGCATACAAAGTCAAAATTGAGAAAACAGCAACAGACAGTAAGTGCCGCCTATGCAAAGAAGCTGAAGAAACAGTGGACCACTTGGTAAGCTGTTGCAAGAAGATTGCACAAAATGATTACAAGCAGCGGCATGACAAAGTAGCAACAATGGTGCATTGGAAGATCTGCAAAAAATATCATTTGCCTGTAAGCAAAAACTGGTGGGATCATAAAATAGAGAAAGTCATAGAAAATGATAAAATTAAACTGCTCTGGGACTTCAGATTTCAAACAGACAAGCACCTGCAACATAACACCCCAGACTTAACAATTGTCGATAAGAAAGACAAAAAAGTCTGGATAGTGGACGTGGCAGTGCCTGGAGACAGCAGAATAGAAGAGAAAGAAATGGAGAAGATAACAAAATACAAAGACCTACAAATAGAAATAGAAAGACTGTGGCAAAAGCAAGCAAGGGTAGTACCAATAGTCATAGGCTCCTTGGGTGCAATCCCAAAACAACTGGAGCACCACTTGAACACCATTGGCATTGACAAATTCGCTATTAGTCAATTGCAAAAGGCGGCCTTATTAGGAACTGCTTCCATCCTGCGACGATATCTGTAATACCATCAAACATCCACATCTGCCTATCCCAGGTCCTGGGTAAGGACTCGATAGGTAGACAAAATGCCAAATCCAGTCTGAACATCTGGCTGACTGTGCGATGATCGATAATAATAATAATAATAATAATAATAATAATAATAATAGTTGGAAGAGACCTTGGAGGTCATGTAGTCCAACCCCCCGCTCAGGCAGGAAACCCTATACCAGTGGTTCTCAACCTTTCTAATGCCGCGACCCCATAATACAGTTCCCCATATTATGGTGACCCCCAACCACTTATACATCACCGGATGCCAGGGGCATGGCCAAAGAAAAGGGGGGAAAAATGGCGGACAGCCTTGTTTGGCGACCCCCGTGAAATGGTCATTCGACCCCAAATGGGGTCCCGACCCACAGATTGAGAACCATTGCCCTATACCATTTTCAGACAAATGGCTGTCCAGTCTCTTCTTAAAAACTTCCGGTGTTGGAGCATAAACCGCTTCTGGAGGCAGGTTGTTCCACTGAATAATTGTTCTAACTGTCAGGAAGTTTCTCCTTAGTTCTAGGTTGCTCAAGTTCTAGGTTGCTCAATAGCTCAAGTTACTTTATTTATATATATATTTAGCAAAGTAACTTAAGGAAGAAATCTATCTGGGCCTTTTAATTTCAAGAACCTATTTAAATATAAAACCTTTTTTTTCCTCCCTGCCTCGTTTAAACGTAATGGCAGTTTCTTTATTCCTGAAATATATTCCTTTTCACAATGAGAAAGAAGTATTCCTTGGTTAATAGTAATATCATTCAATCTTCCACTGCTTGAAAAGTACAAACAAAATCTCTCTGCTTAATAGATTTCCAGGAAAGCAGAGTTTAGATGCAATGGTCAAAATTTGCCCATACAGATAGTCCTCAGCTTACAACCACAACCCATCATAAATGTGAATCAGTTGTCTGGCATCCCGAATGTAAATCACATGATCACGGTTGTAAGTGTGAAAAATGGTCATCGGTCACTTTTTTTCGTGCCGTTGTGACTTCGAACGTTCCCCTAAGCCAAGCCTTACGGCATGTGTTTAGCTGCAGAATCAATTGTGCACAATACAACGTGGGCACCTGTGTAGAGCTGCACAATCAATGCATCATTTTGCAAATTTGTAAGGTGGGGTTTGAATGCTCTACTACTTTTTCTTCCCGCTCTGAGCAATTATTTTTATCTTCCAGTTGCAAACCCCTTCCTTTACAGCAGTGTTTCTCAACCTTGACAATTTTAAGGCATGTGGACTTCAACTCCCAGAATTCCACAGCCAGCATTGCTGGCTGTGGAATTCTGGGAGTTGAAGTCCACATGCCTTAAAATTGACAAGGTTGAGAAACACTGCTTTACAGTGAGTGCTTTATGATGGGTGGAGTTTAACTTTGATTCTGGCAGAACCTATCCAGGTATTGAATACCAGGCATTGGAATAAAGCCAAGAGGTTTGTGCTTATTTAATGGAACTTTGAGCTGGGATTATGCTGAGCCTGTATCATGAAACGCCCTAAACATGGTCTGATGGACACCAGTCCTTCCAATATTTTTCCAGTCTTATCTGTATTTTTCCAGGTGGAAAACGCAGGATAGCAGCCCTTTTCCAGCCCTCGGAAGTCCTGAGCAGTGGTAAGGCTCCCTATCTAATAATATATTTTTTGTTTCGTGTTGAATAAATGAGATACCCACTATGGGGAGAGGATGGGCATCCTGACTTATTTTTAGCGGTTAGATTTTAATTTGACCCCATCTTTTTTTTTTCCTTTTCTAAGTATCAAAGTCACTAAAGAAAATTCAAACACACCCACCTCTTACGACCCAAATTCGATCTCGCATCATTATCCTGGGACACGTATAGTTGCCTTTGCACCCACCTCTGTCCTTTAAGGGTCCAACAGTCTCCATTTTTCATAAAATTTTACCACAGAAGCAGGCCAGCCTACTTAGAAACAGATAAAGAGCCGGGGTGGCGTAGCAGTTAGAGTGCAGTACTGCAGGTCACTTTAGCTGACTCTGTTCAGCAGGTCAGCGGTTCAAATCTCACCAGCTCAAGGTTGACTCAGCCTTCCATCCTTCCGGGGTAGGTAAAATGAGGACCCAGATTGGATGTACACCGCTTAGAGAATGCTTGCACTTAAAGCGGTATATAAGTCTCATAAATAAATAAATAAAAGAGGTCCGCAAGCATAAAGCATTCGTGTCGGTAATCCTCAACGTACGACCGCCATTGAGCCCAAAATGGATCTCGCTAAGCGAGACAGTTGCTAAGCGAGTTTTGCCCCATTTTATTAACCTTTCTCGCCACCACGGTTAAGTCAACCTCCGCAGTTGTTAAGTTAGTAACACGTTTGTTAACTAAATCTGGCTTTCTGGTTGACTTGGCTTGTTGGAAGGTCGCAAAAGGAGATCACATGATCCCCCGGATACTCCAACTGTCTTAAGTACATGCCAGTTGCCAAGTGTCCGAATTTTGATCACATGACCAGGGGAGGAACGCTGCAGCGGTCATGTGAAAAAAAATGATCCTAAGTCACTTTTTCCAGCGTCGTCGTAACTTCAAACGGCCACTAAATGAATTGTTGAAAGTCAAGGACTACGTGTTATATATTTTTTCTACATCAAAATACAATTTAGAATAGAAGTGTGGGGTTTTCACCTTTAACTGTATAGGACAATAAAGTAGGTGTTTTAGTTCTTAAATACAATCTATCTTCTGTTATCATTCCTTGTTCTGCTCCCCCCCCCTTTTTTTTCTTGTAATCAGAAGGTTGATAATCATAAGGAACGCACTCTCCATTAATTTTGAAATTTTGTTATCGTTGTTCCTCTCCCCCAACCCCGCCCAAAAGAGACCATCAGAGGAATCTAGATTCTTCAATTTGTTTCATACAATCTCACTGATCTAGTTCAAGTAAAACAGACTTGACATCCAAAATGAACCATTCATATGGTTCATTATTTAGTTGCTGGAAATGGGTATGTCTAGTTTAACGAAGAGAAGGACGAGGGGGGACATGATAGCAGTGTTCCAATATCTCAGGGGCTGCCCCAAAGAAGAGGGAGTCAAGCTCTTCTCCAAAGCACCTGAAGGCAGGACAAGAAGCAACGGATGGAAACTAATCAAGGAGAGAAGCAACCTAGAACTAAGGAGAAACTTCCTGACAGTTAGAACAATTAACCAGTGGAACTCCTTGCCTCCAGAAGTTGGGGTGCTCCATCACTGGAGGCTTTTAAGAAGAAACTGGATAGCCATTTGTCTGGAAAGGTATAGAGTTTCCTGCCTGAGCAGGGGGTTGGACTAGATGACCTCTAAGGTCCTTCCCACCTCTGTCATACTGTTATGGGGGGGGAATGTAGTAATATCCAGTGCAGTGTTGTGAAGATAGAAAGATACTAGGATTAAGACTGGGAAAACTCAAATTCTAAATCTCTCTTAGAGAGAGAAGCTGGCTGGGAGTAGTAGAGAGTCACAGAAGAGCTAACAGCCAGCAACAATTATATATAAAAAAAAATTCCTTGGAGTCCAGGAAACAAGGAAGCTTAAACTCAAACTGATTTTTCCTTAACTCCAAGGGTTACAAAAAAGAAAGGAGGAAGGAGAAACAGTCACATTTTCAAGATTTTAGTATTATAATTTATATCGGGACAGTTCTAGTCAAATCTGCACAGGTTTGTAATAATACTACATCAGTGATATCCAGAGAGCCAGCAGAAGTTTGTGGCTGAGATGTTGTTGTATTAAACAAGGGAAGAGTCAGGTTCCTACCTTAGACATGGAAGCCAGCTGTGTGAGCCTGGACCAGCAAAACACAACTCAAACAGCAATGACAATGGAAAATTGCCAACATCTAATATGCAGATGTAAAAAAGATGTTGAGACTCTAGAAAGAGTACAGAGAAGAGCAAGAAAGATGATTAGGGGACTGGAGGCTAAAACATATAAGGAACGGTTGCTAGAATTGGGTATGTCTAGTTTAATGAAGAGAAGGACAAGGGGGGACATGATAGCGTATTCCAATATCTCAGGGGCTGCCATAAAGAAGAGGGAATCGAGCTATTTTCCAAAGCACCTGAAGGCAGGACAAGAAGTAACGGAGGGAAACTAATCAAGGAGAGAAGCAACCTAGAACTAAGAAGAAACTTCCTTACAGTGAGAACAATTAATCAGTGGAACAGCCTGCCTCCAGAAGCAGTAAATGCTCCAACACTGGAAGTTTTTAAGAAGAGACTGGACAGCCACTTGTCCGAAATGGTGTAGGGTTTCCTGCCTGAGCAGAGGGTTGGACTAGATGACCTCCAAGGTCCCTTCCAACTTTACTACTATTACTATTACTAAGGTGGCTGCTATTAGACATTTAGTACCAAGAGGCAGAGTTTGAAATGTTAATGAGTTTAGAATTGGCATTTAGGTGTTAAAAAAACAAAAACAAAATTGGCTATAAGAAATCCATGATAATCAGACTTGCATGATTCTGTTATTATAGCCACTCTCAATAGACATAAGTCTTCCTGTGGAGTTGATTTCATGGTATGGTCTACCTGTCAAGGCAGATAGCTCCTGATTTGTCTGTGTTGTCTTCTGGCAGTCAAATACATTTTTATGTCCCAGGCTTTTGAATAGTCTGTTACTATGGTCACAGCGGGGAATAATAACTTTTGTTGTTGTTGTTAATTGCGAAGTGTGTCTGACCCATCGTGACCCCATGGACAACGTTCCTCCAGGTCTTTCTGTCCTCTACCATCTTCTGGAGTCCATTTAAGTTCACACCTACTGCTTCACTTTAACTTTTTAGCAGGGCTTATATTTCCTATTGTTTGGTTTATTCGATTTTAATATGCACACAAGGGTTAAAAGTGGGATGGCTAAAATTCACTCTCTGTCCATGCCAATTTATCCTAAGTGTTGTTTCAGTGTCTATGGACTTTTCCTTCTTTTGATCGATATAGCTGCATGGGTTCTTGGTGCACTCTGAGCTTGATGCTTTTCTCGCAGACATTTTATTACCCAACTAGGCAACACCATCAGTTTCCTTCCCCACTTCTTTGGTCTGCCTTTTAATCCCATGTTTGCCTGGCAACTATTTTGATGTTTGCTGATGTTTAATAAACAAACATCACACTCAATCTTTTGCTAGCTGAATTGAGCTCATTGGCTTCCTTGGAGGGGCCAGGGTTGCATCAGGTAAAAGACTCAACTGGAAATTATTCCCATTAATTTCCAAACATTACAGATATTCATAGATATAGTATACAGCCAGCACTTCTGGATTAATCTACTTCAGTGCATTTTAGCTAGCAATTCATTTCACTTTAGGCTCTAGTGATATATTTAGCTACTAGAAAAGGGTTTGTTTTTTTCTTTCTCACACCATTCTAATAACGGCAGATTAAAGCCTAATGCTGTTACTATTTTCTGTGTGAGAATAACTTCAACAGCCGGGAGAAGCAAAGCTAATGCTTTGTAGAATTGTCATTCCAGAATTACACGTAGACCCTGGGACAAAGCTTCAGGGTTCACGTTGCCATGCTGTTGTAAAGTTGTCATAGAATTGACTGACAGGCCATTTGAGCACCACGATATTTGGTCACCACAATATAAAAAAGATGTTGAGGCTCTGGAAAGAGTGGAGAGAAGGACAACAAAAATGATTAGGGAGCTGGAGGCTAAAACATACAAAGAACGTTTGCAGGAATTGGACATGTCTAGTTTAATGAAGAGAAGGACGAGGGGGGACTGACAGCAATGTTCCAAATATTTGAGGGATTCCTACAAAGATGAGGGGGTCAACCTATTTTTCCAAAGCACCAACAGGCAAGACAAGAAACAATGTTATCCTATGTTCCATGTTCTATGTCAAATTTCTGGTTAAAGACAACTGAGATATTGTACTTCCATTCTATTCCCAACTGTGGCAATTTCCAGTTGTGAGGACTTCAAATCCCTGAATGACCTCGCCACCATTGTTGTTGATGACAATTTCTTTTGTAACACATTTTATTAGTTTTCCAATTTTAACATCCAAGTATTTAGAAAGTGACTGGGTAATCAATAATTCAATAACAGCATTTTTAGTACGTATCTTGGGTTACATTGTCCAAAATTCCTTCTCTATTTCCCATTAACATTTAATATAACATAGTTAAGCTAATAAACTTCTAGCCATAGCAAACACAATTGGAGCCTTTATCAATCTATCTTTTGTTTATACATATACATATCCTAATTTTTAATTTCTAATTACAGTATTCCAATTTTAACCTTTAATATCCATAATATTCCCATTTCTGGTAACCCAAATTTCCTTTATTTCACTACACAAAAGTTATGATATCTAAAATGCGCATATTATTTACTTAAATACATTCTATTTTTATTTCATAGACATTTTCTAATTCTCATCCTGATACATCACAGCTTACTAATAGAGTAACCTTTATTATCTCAAATCCATCCATCATCTATATTTTCTGGGCTAAGGGTAATCCTTAATATTTAATTTCCATTTCCCTTATAAATCTGTACCCTAATTATTAAGTCAATTAATCCAACAACATTTGAATCTAATAGTCATATTTCGCTTTGTCTCCAGATCTCCTTTTAGCCCATTAGTTGAAACTTTAAGATCTCTCTTGG